CCTCTTAACTCGAAAAGTACTTAACGAAAAAATACTTAAGTATAGTGTTTTGGAAAGCTCTCGAGATAAGCTACAAGAATATACAATAAAAAATGGGGGTATCCATTTAAAAACATCATTGTAACCTTGACCTGATCTTTATGACGCAACTCAAGGTCAAACTGCTAATATCATAAAATAGATCTTTTTAAACCCTACAACTTTTGTATTTAACATTTTTTTATACAACGCTTTGTTTCCGAGATATTCAGGTGTTCCTGTATATAATATTCACCCTGTATATGTATACATACGTATATTCATATAAATGTGACGTGCACGCGTCGAGCGGTAATTAGAAGTAAGTTGTTTTATGTTTGTATCGCGCTAATTAGCGCCACATGATGTATTTTATGTTTGTTGAGTGTCTAGGGAGATTGTGGTCGTGGTCGTAAGTGCGGTGGCAATTTCCCGAGTAGTAGTTAAGCTTGGGACACCACGCCGCTAAGGGCGACAGCTCCGCGCGAGGTGAGGTCCCGAGCACCAATTCTAGATCGGCTCTATTCCGCCATTAAGAAAACGGACGTTGTCGGTATCGGACGTGCCGTGAGGAAAAGCAGCATTTTGTGACGTTGACGACGACCTCCCCGACGACCACTACTGACGCCAGAACGGCGAATAAAGTACAAGTTCATCATACCGGTGAGTCAATTTATATTCCTCCCCGCGAACTTCCGTTCATCCGCACTAGCGCTAGCGAGGACGACGCTCTAGCGAGGACGACGCCGGTATCCTTTATGAACGAGTGGCGACCGTTACCTACCTGCGTAATACAATAAGTAGGAACAAAACGTTTAGAAACAAGTAAATTTGTAACGGCCTTGCGTTACGTGCGGGATAGTCTTAGCCGGTGTGGTCCGGGTTTCGTGCGTGAAATGAAAACCAGTGGTATAGGTGATAATAATGTGAAACTATATTCTACTTTCGAAGCTGTTTACAATTATTTACAGGCGACGTTACGCCGTTGGCGCGTGGTCGCGTTTTTGCTCTCGTC